TATGACTAAACAGTGATTTGCTTTGGACAGTACAGCTGGGTTTGAGTGGATTTAGTGCTGATGAAAGGAGCTAGCTTGACAACCCGAGAGCCCCCTCTGTCCATCATATAGGTACAACACAGGTGATGGGGTCCCCAACACTGCCTTACCACTATGTTTTGAACCCTGAGCTGCAAGGAGCACTTCTACGGAAGAGACAACTCTACAGATTCCAGGTCCTGTTCAGCCTGTGGCCCCTCTGCTGAGACTGGGGCAGGGGAGCACAATTGTCTCCATGTGTATCAGTTTCCTGTTACTTGTATCGCAGTTGCACTCAGTCAGGTACTGGGGAACCCACTGGGCAAGGCGCTATACAGATATGAAACCAAAAGATAAGCCCTCCCCCAAGGAGATGACAATCTAAATTAACAGGAAAGACAAAGAGTGGGAGGAAGGAAGTATTTTCATCTTACAGAGATGACGTGGAGGGCCAGATTTTTAAAGGTATTTAGGCATCTATTTCTCATTGATTTCAATGGGAGTTGAATGTTCAATGGGAGCCTTTAAAATTCAGGCCCAGAGAGATTAAACTGATTTTCCAGGGCTCAGTTGTGACTTAGGTGCCCAGTTGCTATCTGTTGCCCACCAATGACTTGCCCAAGGTCCAACAGGACTGCAGTGGCAGACCTGGGAACTGAACCTAGATCTCTGGAGTCTCCATTTGGGCTGGTGGCTAAAGCACTCATCTTCCTTTTGCGCGTATTAACATTTGTATCATGGTCACATTACAGTGTACAGGTCTGATCCTGCAAGGTGCTGAGCACCCAGTGAAAGCTGAAGCAAGGAATACCTATTGCCTTTTGGATTTAAAACAGTCTTCCAGTTGTTTGGCAGCTTCCCCTGTGCTGTAGCTTGAGAACCACACGTTAAGGATTTTAATGTATGGAGTTGGGCAGGAGACTAGCATGAACATTCCCATAGGTTTAGCCCTGAGGGTAGGTGAGGTCTTGCATACCTGTTTGTTGAGATCTGTATTCCTAGTGTTGTCTTGACTCGTAATTTATAGTAAAATAACACTTTCTATGATGTTTTTATTAACCTCCAAGTTCGGGTAATGATGATAATTTAGCACCCTGCCAGCACTTTGTTTTCATGCTGCGGTACAAAGGTACCAGTGCCATTTAGTGCCTAATTCCCATCTCTCTCGCCTCCATCCTGAGCCCGGGCCTTTTGAAGGCCCACCTTGGAGCTGCATTTCCAGGTTCTCTTCCAGTGTGGCTGCCCATGTAAAGTGGGGGTCCACAGCCTGGATGGGGTAATACAGCCTTTTGCATGGAGTCCCATCAGGGGTGGGGCAGGGCAGGGATGATGAATATACCAGGTACCTCCCTGTCCTGCCCCATCCCCAGGGCAATAAAGGAAGATATAGCACAGGGCATGGGATGTATGTGTTAGGTTGATTGCTTCTGTGTGAACTACACTTAAAGGGGCATTGTCAAGATAAAAATCACATTTTGAGTAAAGATAAAACCTTTCCCTCTGTTACTAAAAGCACCTTTGATGATAATTTAAAGGATTTTTATAATCTAATTTACATTATATGCTGTTTCTTGACTTTTTGCATTTCACTCAGCTTAGGTACTGAAATTAGACTGCTAATGTTTCCTCCTTTTTAATAAAAACAACGAGGAGTCCTTGTGGCACCTTAGAGACTAACAAATTTATTTGGGCATAAGCTTTCATGGGCTATAACCCACTTCATCAGATGCATGGAGTGGAAAATCTGATGAAGTAGGTTATAGCCCACGAAAGCTTATGCTCACATAAATTTGTTAGTCTCTAAGGTGCCACAAGGACTCCTCGTTGTTTTTACTGATACAGACTAACACGGCTACCCCTCCGAATCCTTTTTAATAGTCATTTTCATTTCAGATTTATGCACTTGTACAATTCTAACTCAGATTTAAGACTCTATATAATATATACTCTATAAAACATATAATAAAACCTTTCCATCCATTTTATTTTTAATTCACATAAACTTTTCTAATGCTGTTATTTTTCCCTCACGCTCATTTATTATTACAAAACCCAGCTAGGCCCGGTTGTGCCTAAAACTACTTGTCTGTGTCCTTTGGCCTATGTATATCTTCTGAGGCCTTGTCTACACCACTCGGTTAGGTTGACATAAGCTGCCTTGCATTGACCTACCTGCAGAAGTGTCTCCACTTAAATTTGGCTCCCACTGATGTAAGTGCCTCTTTACGCCAATTTAGAAAACACCACCTCCCTGAGCAGCGTAGAGACAGGGTCGATGTAATTAGGTGGATGCAGTGTCAGTGTAGACACTATGTTGCTTACGTAGACTGTTACTGGCTTTCAGGAGCCATCCCACAATGTCCCACACTGGCAATACAATAGATACAAGTGCTCCTGGTGAGGATGCACACCACTGACACAAGGAGCCAAGTGTGCACGCACACAAGCAATATAAAAACCGCGGTGGCTGTATGCCGATGTAAGTTAGGTTGACATAATTTTGTAGTGTACTCATGGCTTGAGATTGAAAGATGCAGTGTGAACTAGACAACACTGAAGTTTTGTTTTACAGTACTTCGCTCATCTTTCACTAGGATTAGTTTAACGATTCCCCTTTCCCCCTGAATTAACAAAATTTCAGGGAAGGAATAAAAACAGAATGACCTAGAAATGGAAGTGTGTTGTGTTCATCATCACTGACTGAAACTAAGGCCAGGTCTACAGTACTAAGTTTTGTCAGCTTAGCTCTGTTGGTGGGGGTATGAAAACACCACATGCCGGCAACCCCCCACCCCCACGTAGATGTAGCTACATCAACAGAAGAGTTTTTCTGTCGGCAGAACTAATGTCATTTGGGGAGATGATGTTACTATAACAGCAGAACTCCTTCTGTTGACGTAATGGCTGTGTCCACACTAGGGGGTTTTGCTGGCATAGCTATACTAGTGTCACTGTATTGGCAAAGCCTGTGGGGCGTAGACAAGGCCTGAGAGCGCTGGCTGCATGGAAATTAGGAAGCACCAGTGTGGAAAGCCAGGCATTTTGCAACTAAAAGGCAAGAAACTAGCATCAATGTCTGTTGAAAGCATGATGGTCATGGCAGACTGTGATGGGATGGCTGCCCCTCACTCGTATGTAAGAGGTTAAAGCAATCCTAGGGAGTCTGCATGGGAGGCAGCCAATAAGGAAAAGGCTTGTAGTGCCAGCCAATTAGGGGAAAGTTTACTGGAGGAGCCAATCAGGGCCAGGCTGACCCATATAAGAAGTGGCTGCTGAGCAGAGCAGAGGGCAGTCACTCCCTTGAGTTCAAGGGAGGAGCACTGGCTGCTTAGGGCTGGAGTACCATGGACAGAGCAGTGCTGGGCAGGGTCTGCAGAGTTTGAGAAAGCTCTAGGCTGCCAAACTGAGGCCCTGATACAAGGGCAGAGGAGGTGCTGGGGCTGTGGGGAAGTGGCCAGGGAAGGAGGTGGTGGAGTTGGAGGAGGGGCTGCTGGCTATATGGTCCCTGGGTCAGGGCCCAGAGTAGTGGGTGGGCCTGGGTATCCACCCCTACTTTTGCCACTGAGGGGAGTGGCTGGTGAATGGACTGCAGTTTGCCACTGAGGGGAGTGCTTGTACTGGGGACTGTTGGTCCCCTGGAAGGGGGAAAGAACTGATGCGGGTCCTGGAGGTGGAGACAGAAGTGATGATGTGTGAGATACCACCTGAGGAGTGCGCACTGGCAACCCTGAGCTAATTCACAGGACAGCCAGCAGGAGGTGCTGCGGTGGTGAGTCAAACGACCCATTACACAGACCTTTAAAAGACTATCTTACTGCGAGCCTTGTATTACAACCGCTCCTAGAAGCTACATATTCTCTTAATCTGTATAATAGGGATGTGAAACTATCTACCTTGGGATAACTAGACAGCAGTGGGGAGGGGGGCATACAAAATTATTCTAAGTCACCATCATTAAATGCAATGAAGACTGAGGGACAAATCTAGTTCTTGGGTAAACAAACCAACATATCTCCATCAGTATAAATTAAATATCCATCACCATCTGTATAGTATCACTGGAATTGCATCAGATTATGCCAGGGCTAAATTTGGCTCACAAGATTTTTTTTTATGAGGATGGGTTTTTCATTCTTTTATTTTTTGTATTACTCTAGTGCTAAGAAGTCTCAACCTGGGCAGGGTTCTGTTGTGCAAGGTTCTGTACAATTAGTAAGAAAGCATGCCCCACAGAGTTTGACGTCTTAGATTAACTGGAGATGTAACAGGTGGATGAAGCGAGCAAACAAGCTCTGAATGTGAGGGAGGATGGGATGATAAACATTAACATATTTTTGCATCGACAAACTGTGCACAGTTTGTTGGTATTGAGTTGTTTTGATTATTAGTGGAGGCAATTAAGTAGATTAGTAAATTGTCTGAGTTTGTCACCTGCCTAGCCATTACTGGCTGCCATTGTTCTGGAGGTATGATAAAAATCTCATGCTTATGCAGGGCTGTTGGTCCCCAAGTGCCCTATGAATTATTGAACCAGTAGGTTGCTTTATCAACCACAGAAATGCAGCCAGCTTTGAGGTGAGATACGGCCGCACTTTACAACAATTTGGGAGTGGGAAGTGAAGAAAATGCTATCCAACCTAAAGCATTATAAATGCCATCTGGGTCACCTATTAGGAACCTTAGTTTTTCTTTATGGACTAAATAGGAAAGATGTATTTCAAGCCCACACATGTACTCTAAGGCAGCCAAATTAAAAGGCTACGTGAAGTAAAAATATCTGGCAGATAAAGATAGGCAAGGTGACTAAATAAAGAGATGTTGTCTGTGTTTCTGTGCACACAGAATTCTTAATGCTTCAATCACCTACTGCGTGTTGTGTATAGTCTGCAGCTGGGGTGGGGAGATCACAGAACAACACGAATGATCACAGGCATGGAAAAACACTCCTATGAAGAGAGAGTGGAAAGACTGGGACTCTTTACCTTAGAAAGTAGATGACTAATAGGACATGATAAAATGCATGGCATAGAGAAGGTAGTGCGGGGGCTTCTGTTCTCCATCTGTCACAACACAAGAAAAGGGGGCTGTTAAATGAAATTAAAAAGGTGGGAAACTTAATGCAGAAAATTACCCCCCACCTGCCTCTGGTACAGGATATTGTCAGAGATAGCATATTGGGCGAGATGGACCTCGGGTCTGAGCCAGTTGGGCAATTCCTATAGCCATAAGAATCCCCTACAACACTAGGCTCAGACAAAAAAGTGCTTGATTTGTGAATTTGTACTTCCCAATGGAAAACGCACAGCCAAGAAGAAGTGTCTCACCTTGTGTAAGAAAAAGCAAAGTCTCCCCCCTCTGCTGAGTAAAGGTAAATGGATGATCCCTGCTTTGAAATACCAAGAGTGCCCCTCTCCCACCTAAGCCCCTTTCTATCAGCCTTGGGATTTATTACTTGTGGACAGCAAAATGACAAAGCGGGGAATTGTCTGTCACCTGTAAGCTAAAACCAGGGAGGGAAGAAGCACAGCAAATTCCAGCAGGTTCTTTTGGCCAGAAGGTGGACAGGGAGTGTCGCACAGGAAATGGTCGCCTGTTTCTCCAAAGAAAGCATAACAGTGTAATCTCCTGTAAATGGAATCTGGTCACTTCTCCGCACCAAACATGTAGCAAAGCAGCACTGCAAACTGTTTTTTCAAAAAGAAAAGGAGGACTTGTGGCACCTTAGACTAACCAATTTATTTGAGCATAAGCTTTCGTGAGCTACAGCTCACTTCATTGGATGCATAAAGTGGAAAGTACAGTGAGGAGATTTATATACACACAGAACATGAAAAAATGGGTGTTTATCATGCACACTGTAAGGAGAGTGATCACTTAAGATGAGCTATTACCAGCAGGAGAGTGGGGTGGGGAGAGAAATCCCTTTGTAGTGATAATCAAGGTGGGCCATTTCCAGCAGTTAACAAGAATATTGGAGGAACAGTGGGGGGGAGGGAATAAACAAGGGGAAATAGTTTTACTTTGGGTAATGACTCAACTACTTCCAGTCTCTATTCAAGCTTAAGTTAATTGTATCCAATTTGCAAATTAATTCCAATTCAGCAGTCTCTCATTGGAGTCTGTTTTTGAAACTTTTTTGTTGAATTGCCACTTTTAGGTCTGTAATCGAGTGACCAGAGAGATTGAATTGTTCTCCAACTTGTTTTTGAATGTTTGATTTGTGTCCATTTATTCTTTTACGTAGAGACTGTCCAGTTTGACCAATGTACATGGCAGAGGGGCATTGCTGGCACATGATGACATATATCACATTGGTAGATGTGCAGGTGAACGAGCCTCTGATAGTGTGGCTGATGTGATTAGGCCCTATGATGGTGTCCCCTGAATAGATATGTGCAAGGATAGGTTCCTGGGTTAGTGGTTCTGTTGTGTGGTGTATGGTTGCTGGTGAATATTTGCTTCAGGCTGGGGGGCTGTCTGTAGGCAAGGACTGGCCTGTCTCCCAAGATCTCTGAGAGTGATGGGTCGTCCTTCAGGATAGGTTGTAGATCCTTGATGATGCATTGGAGAGGTTTTAGTTGGGGGCTGAAGGTGACGGCTAGTGGCATTCTGTTATTATCTTTGTTGGGCCTGTCCTGTAGTAGGTGACTTCTGGGTACTCTTCTGGCTCTGTCAATTTGTTTCTTCTCTTCAGCAGGTGGGTATTGTAGTTGTAAGAATGCTTGGTAGAGATCTTGTAGGCGTTTGCCTCTGTCTGAGGGGTTGGAGCAAATGCAGTTGTATCGTAGAGCTTGGCTGTAGACAATGGATCATGTGGCCTCGGTGAAAGCTGGAGGCATGTAGGTAGGAATAGTGGTCAGTAGGTTTCCGGTATAGGTTGGTGTTTATGTGACCATTGCTCATTAGCACCATAGTGTCCAGGAAGTGGATCTCTTGTGTGGACTGGTCCAGGCTGAGGTTGATGGTGAGGTGGAAATGTTGAAATCATGGTGGAATTCCTCAAGGGCTTCTTTTCCATGGATCCAGATGATGAAGATGTCATCAATATAGCGCAAGTAGAATAGGGGCATTAGGGGACGAGAGCTAAGGAAGCGCTGTTCTAAGTCAACCATAAAAATGTTGGCATACTGTGGGGCGATGCAGGTACCCATAGCAGTGCCGCTGATTTGAAAGTATACATTGTCCCCAAATGTGCAATAGTTATGGGTGAGGACAAAGTCACAAAGTTCAGCCACCAGGTTTGCCGTGACATTATTGGGGATACTGTTCCTGACGGCTTGTAGTCCATCTTTGTGTGGAATGTTGATGTAGAGGGCTTCTACATCCATAGTGGCCAGGAGGGTGTTTTCAGGAAGATCACTGATGGATTGTAGTTTCCTCAGGAAGTCAGTGGTGTCTCGAAGATAGCTGGGAGTGCTGGTAGCGTAGGGCCTGAGGAGGGAGTCTACATAGCCAGACAATCCTGCTCTCAGGGTGCCAATGCCTGAGATGATGGGGCACCCAGGATTTCCAGGTTTATGGATCTTGGGTAGCAGATAGAATACCCCAGGTCAGGGTTCCAGGGGTATGTCTGTGTGGATTTGTTCTTGTGCTTTTTCAGGGAGTTTCTCGAGCAAATGCTGTAGTTTCTTTTGGTAACCCTCAGTTGGATCAGAGGGTAATGGCTTGTAGAAAGTGGTATTGGAGAGCTGCCTAGCAGCCTCTTGTTCATATTCCAACCTATTCATGATGACAACAACACCTCCTTTGTCAGCCTTTGATTATCCTTGCAACAAAGCCCATTGCCAACTGTGTCCACATATCTATTCAGGGGACACCATCATGGGGCCTAATCACATCAGCCACACTATCAGAGGCTCGTTCACCTGCACATCCACCAATGTGATATGTCATCATGTGCCAGCAATGCCCCTCTGCCATGTACATTGGTCAAACTGGACCGTCTCTACGTAAAAGAATAAATGGACACAAATCAGATGTCAAGAATTATAACATTCATAAACCAGAACACTTCAGTCTCTCTGGTCACTCAATTTCTGACCTAAAAGTGGCAATTCTTCAACAAAGACTTCAAAAACAAACTCCAATGAGAGACTGCTGAATTGGAATTAATTTGCAAATTGGATACAATTAACTTAGGCTTGAATAGACACTGGGAGTAGTTGAGTCATTACACAAAGTAAAACTATTTCCCCTTGTTTATTCCCTCCCCCCCCACTGTTCCTCCAATATTCTTGTTAACTGCTGGAAATGGCCCACCTTAGAATCATAGAATATAAGGGTTGGAAGGGACCCCAGAAGTTCATCTAGTCCAACCCCCTGCTCGAAGCAGGACCAATTCCCAGTTAAATCATCCCAGCCAGGGCTTTGTCAAGCCTGACCTTAAAAACCTCTAAGGAAGGAGATTCTACCACCTCCCTAGGTAACGCATTCCAGTGTTTCACCACCCTCTTAGTGAAAAAGTTTTTCCTAATATCCAATCTAAACCTCCCCCACTGCAGCTTGAGACCATTACTCCTCGTTCTGTCATCTGCTACCATTGAGAACAGTCTAGAGCCATCCTCTTTGGAACCCCCTTTCAGGTAGTTGAAAGCAGCTATCAAATCCCCCCTCATTCTTCTCTTCTGCAGGCTAAACAATCCCAGCTCCCTCAGCCTCTCCTCATAACTCATGTGTTCCAGACCCCTAATCATTTTTGTTGCCCTTCGCTGGACTCTCTCCAATTTATCCACATCCTTCTTGAAGTGTGGGGCCCAAAACTGGACACAGTACTCCAGATGAGGCCTCACCAATGTCGAATAGAGGGGAACGATCACGTCCCTCGATCTGCTCGCTATGCCCCTACTTATACATCCCAAAATGCCATTGGCCTTCTTGGCAACAAGGGCACACTGCTGACTCATATCCAGCTTCTCGTCCACTGTCACCCCTAGGTCCTTTTCCGCAGAACTGCTGCCTAGCCATTCGGTCCCTAGTCTGTAGCTGTGCATTGGGTTCTTCCGTCCTAAGTGCAGGACCCTGCACTTATCCTTATTGAACCTCATCAGATTTCTTTTGGCCCAATCCTCCAATTTGTCTAGGTCCTTCTGTATCCTATCCCTCCCCTCCAGCGTATCTACCACTCCTCCCAGTTTAGTATCATCTGCAAATTTGCTGATTATCACTTGATTATCACTTGATTACCTTGATTATCACTACAAAGGGATTTCTCTCCCCCCACCCCACTCTCCTGCTGGTAATAGCTCATCTTAAGTGATCACTCTCCTTACAGTGTGCATGATAAACACCCATTTTTTCATGTTCTGTGTGTATATAAATCTCCTCACTGTACTTTCCACTTTATGCATCCAATGAAGTGAGCTGTAGCTCACGAAAGCTTATGCTCAAATAAATTGGTTAGACTCTAAGGTGCCACAAGTACTCCTGTTCTTTTTGCGAATACAGACTAACACGGCTGCTACTCTGAAACCTGTTTTTTTTTTCTAAACTGCTCTGCTGAATTGCACCCCTCCGTTCCCCAAGGCAGGCGATCCATCTTCACAGACCCATAGCCCTCAGGGATGGACCAGACCTGCTAGGTCAGCTGCAGGAATCCACTTCCCTGCCAGTTCAGGACTCACACCCCTCCCACAGCATTCTCCAGGGTTTTCTCCTGTCTAGTTGTAAGTGACTCAAGCAATGGGGCTTTCACCGCTTCCCTAGGGAGTACGAGTCACGTTTGTGTTAGGAAGTTTCCCCTAATAGTTAGCCTACTTTATCTTCTACTTAACTCCCTAGTTAATCCTCCTTGTCTTCCATAAACAACTCCTCTCCTACCTCATACTTTACTGCTTTCAAATACAAAGCATGGATACCATGATGTCCCCCACCTGAGGGAGGGATTCTCTCTGACCTTGGAGGTGGGGAGTGCATCAAGGGGAGGGTCCAAGGAGCCTTTCCTCCTCTACCCCCTTGTTACCCTGGGCACAGGTCAGCTGCAATCCCACTAGGGAGTGGAAGGACTGCATGTCCACAGCAGTCTGTGGTTCTAGATTCCCAGAGAGGCATGAGCAAGGCTAGG